TCCCTATCCACCTAAATTTTATGTCCTCCACAACAAGACCATGATGAATCTCTAGAGCATATACATTTGGGAAAGAACTCTTGCAGACTTTTGCTTCCCTCGGATGATTACTGAAAGCTTCATTTTTCCCCGTTTTCTTTAGGATATTTATTTTTTCCCTTTTCTCTGAGAGGTAACTCCAGGAAGTTTTCAGGCAGAAGGAAGTATGTTGAGGGCCACTTCTTTCAGTGATGGCATCTCCTCTTGTTCATGTAAACAGACAAAGCTGCCACCTACTTTTCTCAGCACCTTCCAAGGGCCAGGGTAACACCTGCCGGGCAGACAAGGTTGTTTTCGTCAAGTTATTCAATGTGAGGTTCCTACTGATTACTGAATAGAGCATTGTGTTGATCGGACTACCATACCAAATCATCAATAAGACGGCATTACAGAGTTATTACGTGCATACAGTACGGACGAGATGGCTGAATAAAAAAATCTGTCTTATAATACACGTTAAGTAGGAATGCCGAAAAACTATATATGCCTAGAAGGTCATGCAGCTAATAATAAGAGTTTTAGTGCTACAGGAATTGATATTTCAACGCAACAAGGATGTTAACTAAAAATTATTCATGCAAACATAGGGACCTATACATTATTCAAGGTAGATTTGGGGAGAAACCAAATGGTAGTACTCCCTCCGGTCCATATTAATTGTCGCTGATTTAATACAACTTTATACTAAAATTGTAGTAAAGCAGCGACAATTAATATGAATCGGAGGGAGTAACATGTTCAGGAAAAGAATGCAAACCTGAAAAGTGCTCCCCCTTTGGATCCTTTAAAATTGTGAATATAGTAAATGGTCTCCAGTTTCGGAAGAAAGGTCTTGGAAAGTTCACCCAACTTTGGATAGAAAAAGGGCGGGTAATCTTCGCTAATGAAGGAAGTCAAATTTATAAAACCAGATCAAAAAATAATTGTTTCTACTACTCCGTTCAAGATAATCAATTAAACATGAAGTTCTGTACTGAAGGATACATCCACTTCTTATCCGATCTAGTTCTCCATTGAAGATAATCATTTTCCGTTCTGTATTAAGAACTGCTTCCTTGTAAAGCTCTTCCACCACAAGCATTTCTACAAAACACCATTGACATCTTACTATAGCAGCAAACCTCAACTTTGACTGAACAGTACAGTAAGGAGGGATAGCTCAAATTTCAAAAATCAGCAGAGGTCACCATTGACATTGAAATAGGGATAGGCCACAAGGAATATCTCGTCTTCAGGCCGCACACGGTCTGCCATTTTGACCTTCGTCGTAAAACCAAAATCTTCGAATAAGGATGGTTTTGTTAGGTAATCTAATTTCAATGAACACCCTTCAAAAGTTGACTGTCTCGCAAAAGTAACCTCTTTTGCCTCAGGGAAGAACTGAAACATGTTGAGACGGGAACAGTAAAACAAGGAAAAAGATTCAAAGCAATAGAAATTTGAGCACAATGCAAGTATACCTATTTAAAGTTCGTTACAATCCGGAATAAAATACTTTAATCACTTGGTATCGGTCAAAGTGTACCCAGCATAAGCTTGCTTTTTTTTACTGTAAAGCATAAGCTTGCTTGCTATAATAGAGGTCCAAATCCATTTACAAAACTAAATTGTAGGCATAGATAGTACTGAATAGAAGAATGCAAAGAAAGACATACAATTCTGGTCCTGGTAACTTTCTCTGCAGGTACGAAGCGATTGCAAAATTCTCTAATGAGAAGCATGCTTCCTGTCATCTCGATTCCACCTTCGCCATCGCCTGAACAGAAACAAATTGGTGCTTTTTCACCTTACAAATAACTTATAGTAAGTTAAGTATACAGAAAGCTCATCTATGTGGAACCTGGTACAGATTGTAGTCCTGCTGTAGGAAACTCTATTTCCTGTATTATATGATATATACAAAATCACTGGCAAAAAAAGAAAAGAAAAGAAAAAAGTAAAGCCAAGTACTCCCTCCTTTCCGGTTTATAGGGCTCAATTCAAAAATCTCACCAACCAAGGTAGATGATGAGTGGTGGAATACTTTTTGTAGTTTGCAGAAGCACCTAATTAATGCTCTTGTTTTTCTCAAAAAATTATGTTTACCAATGTATTAATTGCAATGCATGCATACATAAAGTACATGCATTGGTCAATTTTCTCTTAATATTTGCATGCAATGATTTAATGCACCTTGGAATCTGAACATGTAATGGGGAACAACCATATTGAGCCTTATAAAATGGAAAAACTGAAATTTTGAGATAAGCCCTATAAACCGGAAAGGAGGGAGTATGTGATAAGAATGACGGTCCAGTCACTCACCAATAGCTGTTTTCCATCCTTAAAAGCTGATTCTGTAGCTTCTTTAGCCTGAAATCACTAAATGTATAGCCCATTAGTCCTAACATCATTCATGCATCTTCTTTCAAAAGAAACACTGTTATACAAGCTAGAGTGAATGCACTAAGTGCATTGTTCGTCATAAAAGTAAGAACTTAATATGATCGCCATCTCTGCCACATAAGCATGTGAGAGAAGATGCTACCAACAAGGTTAGCTCAAACTGTACCACCAATTTAGGGTGTTCACGGATTCTATCCAGTCTACATTATCCAGATACAGTATAGTGTCGAGTTGCTGGGCACAAAACTCCACACAACCATTCATATCTGTTACTCGCTTTTTTTAACTGAAACTGTTGAGCAGGCCCCGACAGTAAAATGTATGAAAAGACGACATTCAGAAAGAAGGGGGTGAGGTGAAAGTACAAAGAGAAGAACAAACAAGCTCAGCCCTGGCTATCCAGCCAAGTGGTAACATATGGTCTATTAATCTTCTTCATTCTGTAAGAAAGAAGAGGTTCTTAAAAAGGAAGGACCAGGAGTTAGGCCAGGATTGTCATTTTCAAAAATCTTCAAAATTGCTCTGTTTCCAAATGTTCCAGGCAGCAACAAGGCCTCCATCAAGAAAGGTTTAAAGAGGCTTTGGCAGAGGATAACAGGTTTTCCATCCCATCACATAACAAGGGAAGAGGTTAAGAGTTTCCCAACTATCCTTGCTGATGCTGCAGGTCCAGAACAGATGATCCCTGTTCTCAAGGAGCCCTTCATTGTGAAGAATGCAGTTGACACCATCATCTAAGTGTAAATTCCTTCCTCAGCATGTCCTTGGTGTTGAGGCGATCATTGAGAAGAAGCCAGAAGAAATCCATGACTTTAGAGGGGATTTGGAATTCCATATCCAGTTGGAGTACATAAGGTCTTGGATGGAGCTGAAGGGAAGATTGTAGATCTTGCTTGCCCAGAAAGAGGTTCCCAGCTGAAACTCCAAATATCAGCACCTGAGGGATTAGGATTGTGTCGAGTAACAATCTGCCTGACAACTGTCCACAACAATAACTTTGCAGCACGAAGAGATAGATCTAAAAAATGCTGCGCCTAAATGCGGATTGTTGGTTTTCCCACCTAATTGCGAAGGTAGCCCAATTGAATATGTAACATGTATAACAAACTGACAATGCATAAACCACTCTACTGCTTATCTAGGTAGGTTCAATAAGCAAAGTAGGCCACCGAAAACATTTTACAATAAAATGTCTCAGAAAAACAAATGGCATAGCTAGTATACAGATGTTTCACAACTGCCTGAAAGACAAAGGATTTGACATTTGGTCATTTGAGGTGTGAGTTCATCTCAAGTACAGCTGCATACAATGAGATGCAGGGCCCATATATTAAAGCAAAGCGACTAATATAGGCATGTAAAACTGGCAACACACCAAAGGCCCCAGAACATTGTAGGAACTACCAGTTGTCAATAAACAAGTTTTCACCGGAATTACCTGCACTATGAGTTCTGTGTAATCGCTTGGGAAATTTGCACTGAAGACGTCGCGGGTGCTCCGGTCCCCAGTGACAGCGCAGACATGGAACCAAGTTCTTAAATTCCTCCTTGATATAGTGAAAATGCTCCCACCACCATCACCACTGCTAATTGTAGGAAATCTCCAATTTGGAACCTTCACAAAATAAACAAAATGCATGAATAGAAAGCTCAAATTTAAAGGGAAAGAAAGGGATAAAATATATAGCTTGTTTGGGATGGTCTACTTGTTTATGCGGGGCAAATGGTTTAAAGGTAAATGGTGCGTTGGAGATTGAATAATTGGTTGCCATGGCCATTGAAGCCTGGGGGTGGGTGGTTCAGACGGAGGGCCAGAGGGGTAGGGGGAGAGGGAGAGAGTACCAGTGTGTGGTAGTGGAGGGAAATTGCTATCGAAGTACCAGCCTGTTTGGCAAGGCATTACTGTGTGGTCTCCAATTGCTGTGATGGGAAAAATATCTTGCCTGTCATGACAGCGACATCTACTTGTATGCATATGCTGCTATTGGCTGATAAGATAATGCAGACTTTTCTTATCTTGTTTATCCTAAAATATTGATATAGTGGGCCAACGTAGTCTTGCTGAGAAACTCTGACTCTTTGCTGAGAAATGAATAAAAAGGGCAACCTGGTGCATGTAGCTCCCGCTTGCGCAGGGTCCAGGGAAGGGTCCGACCACTTTGGGTCTATAGTACGCAGCCTTTCCCTACATTTCTGTAAGAGGCTGTTTCCAGGACTTGAACCCATGACCTCATGGTCACAAGGCAGCAGCTTTACCACTGCGCCAAGGCTCCCCTTCTTTGCTGAGAAATGAATGTCTGAATGAAATTTAAAGGAATGCCACTAATGCAGAGTTGATGGCTCCAGTACCTCGCTGTCTTGTTTTTAACTTCTTGATTACGATCTTGGAAGGGTCATCGCTAAAGAATTGAACAGGCTCCAACACCTCGCTATCCTATCCTTTCAAGAACTCATTTGGGCGTACCCCCGGCCCCTGACAAAAAAAGACAGTGTTTTCCCAAATTTTGGACTTTGGAGCCAACAGGGCCATCAACTGATCTCACAGACTGCCAGAGTTCCATTTTTTCATAACCTTATCACGTCGCCCCTTCTATCATGACAGAAAGGTTATCAACCTCCTGGCATATCTGATCAATTAGAGGATGTGTATTGTCATTTGATGAGAAGGAGACAACCTCCCCCTTCAGCTCAACCCAACTACACCCTGTCTCCTTCTTTAAGCCCTGCTCTTTCATGAATCCTCTAACATTGGCAGCACTGCTCCACATCTCTTTGGCAGCATATAAGTTTGCCAAGAGTGTATACATTCCTCCATCAGAAGGTTGCGCCTGAAGGACATTCTTTGCAATGACTTCTCCAAGCTGAACATCTCCGTGAGCATTACATGCGCTAAACAGTGTCTCCCATGCATTTACTTGAAGGTCAGATGGGATTTTTCTTGTGAATGCATAAGCTTGGTGTACAAAACCAGATCTTCCTAGGAGATCAACCATACAGGAATAGTGATCAGATCTAGGAATCAAGTTCCAATCTTCTTGCATACTTCTAAAATAACGACAACCTTCATATAAATAGCCTTTGTGTGCACAAGAAGACAATACACTAAGAAAGGTTGCATGGTCTGGACGAAATCCATCTTCAGTCATTTTGTCAAAGAGTTTCAGAGCTTCAGCAGCCATACCATGATAAGCATATGTCGCAATCATGGCATTCCATGTCACTGTATCTCGCTGCAACATCAATTCGAAAACTTGTGAGGCTTCAGCGATTAGCCCACACTTTGAGTACATAGATATCAATGAGCTCATTACCAAAGCGTCCCGCTCAAAGCCAGTTTTGACTGCACAGAGATGCACCATTTTTCCACATCCGAGCGCAACAAGAGAGGCGCAGATAGAAATAACAATGCTCAAAGTGGCTTGGTTCGGTCTGAGTCCTCCTCTGGTCATTTCTGACAGCAAAGCTAGTGCTCCTTCATCTTTGTACCCAGAGATCAATGTGTTCCACGAGGTCTCATCTTTCTCTGGCATTTTTCTAAACCAGGTATTTGCACTAGCCATGTCCCCTTGTTGAACATAGCCTTGCAAGATCGTGTTCCAAGATACGAGATCCCTATTTGGCATCTCAGCAAACAATCTCAAAGCATCATCCACCCTCTCACTCTGCACGAAACCACCGATCATTGTGTTCCAAGCAACAGCATCCCGATCGGGCATTTCCTGGAACACCTTCCACGAAGCATCAACGTCTCCATTCTGCAAGTACCCACGCATAATGGCTGTCCGAGATATCGTGTCCTTCTGGGGCATCTCATCAAACAGGCTCTGCGCAACCTGCATCCTCCCAGCCCGCGCGTAGCCTGTGATCATAACATTCCACGAGACAGGGTTCCGTCTCTGCATCCGGCCAAACAGCTCCTCGGCGTCCTTCAAGCAACCAAGTGCGACGTAACCCGACAGCAACGCGTTGCAGACAGACGTCGACGGGGAAGGGGCGCGGTCAAAGAGCTCCCTCGCCTCACGGACACGACGCCTCCTGATGTAACCGGAGATCATCGTCAGCCACGAGACGTCGTTCCTCGCTGGCATCGCGTCGAACAGCTCGCGCACCCGCTCGACCATCCCGTTGCGCGCGTAGCCTGACATCATCGCGTTCCAGGAGACCACGTTCCGGTCCGGCATCCGGTCGAAGAGCTCCCTGGCCTCGGCGACCCTCCCGCACCGCGCGTAGCCGGTCAGGAGCGCGGCCCAGGAGACCGAGTTCCTCCCAGGCATCGCGTCGAACGCCCTGCGCGCGTCCGCGAGCATCCGGTTCTGGACGAAGCCGGAGATCATGCAGTTCCACGTGAACACGTTCCGCTCCGGCATTTCGTCGAACAGTCGGCGCGCGGCGGCCACCCTGCCGGCGCGGAGGTGGGCGGATATGGCGGAGTTCCATTGGAAGATGTCGCCGCCGGAGGGCGACGGCGGGGCCGGTGCGCGGCCGCAGAAGCGGCGGAGGGGAGTAGAAGCCCGGTGGGGTCCGCGGGTTGGTTGCAGAAGTTTCTGGAAGGTTCTTATCATGCTCATAGGCGACTGGAGGGGAGAAGAGGTGCGTGGCTGCAAGGACGCGGGTTAAGCAAAGCAGGGCTCTGTTTTAAGTTTTGAAGATGTCGCAAATAAAATCAAGCACTTTCGAAGAAAACCAGAATTAAATACTACTGAAATTTTTCGATTTTTTTAGAAACACCAACTACTGTACTCCCCCGCTCCTTTTTAGTTCGCATATAAAATTTGTCTAAAGTCAAGCCTTATAAAGTTTGACCAACTTTATAGAAAAAAATATCAACATTGACAATATGAAATCAATATCAGTGGATGTGTCATAACTAAAATTTTCATATTGTATAACTTTAGCATGGTTGATGTTGATATTTCTCATATAATTATGATGAAATTTTATAAAGTTTGACTTCAGACAATTCTTATATGCACAGTAAAAAGGGGTGAAGGGAGTACAAGGTAGATGCCTGACATACGCAACTACTGCTCTCACACAACTCTAACCACTACACACACGACACGTGGAACTTGACGAATCCCAGTGGAGTGGATTGCAAATTTACCACATTCTAAGTTCAGTTTCGAGTTTGCAACCAGATTCATTGGGCGATAAAAAATCTATCGACTTTCTTAATAATTTTCTCAATAAACAATTGTTTTAGTCCATTTTAGTGACGTTTCTGATTAATTGAACCCACCTTAAGGCACACCAACCAACAATGAAATTTACAAAAAATTACACAATCCATCCTAACTAAAAAATACTCCCTGTCTTAAAATTCTTGTCATAGAATTGTCTAAATATGAATAATATTAGATACATCCATATCTAGAGAAATAACAAGAATTTTGAGACAGAGGGAGTAGATTAATTGCGCCCCTAGCAGGAAGGTTGTTGTGCCCGTGAACACGTCACCCCCGATGTGGCCTCGGGTGAGGAGGGCAGTGGCAAGGCATGTTGCTCCCCGGGCGGTGCAGAATCTCCCTGGTCACGACGACCCCAAATCAAGTCGTGCTGCACTTGCGGAGCAGCATAGAGACTAGGTGTTGGGGCATGCCCGTGGCGCGCCTCTCGAGGGGGAGTTGAGCGGTGCCTGGTTGTACTCGCCCCTTTAACACTCTTTTCTATTCTAATTAGTATTTGGGATGACTACTTTAGCTAAAAAACTTAGCAGCAAAAATAGAAATATATACTTTACAAAGAAAGCTCATTATGGATCTGAACATGAAACATCTAAATGACAATAGTGCACTTAACATAAGCAACAGCGTAGGTTTAGTGTCTTGAAAAGATGTGATAAGAGGGCCCAAAAGCAACTGATAGGTTATCACAGGATATAACATAATTAGGAGTACTTAGTGCTAGATTATATTGACACAGGGGCTGCGTCGTCTTCAATGGTGCATCTAGAGGCGGTGCACGGTGAGGACCAGGCAGCGCTTTGAAGTTATCCTGAAACGAAATGCACAGATGTCTCCCTCGCAAATGTTGGCGCGACGACGAAACTCAGGCCAATTGGTGGTTATAATGGCCCTTTTGTCAATTCCTAGCATGATGCAACATTCGGCGAGCAGATGGCCGTCTGCAAGTTTGACAATGAGTGTATCATTGTTTGGATCAATGTAGTCCTGCAAGTTCTCTTCAGTATAGTTAACCTGAAAATACTGGTAGAAGAAAGTAAGTTATTTACATGGACAGAAATTGTTGTGTGATATGGAAGATAAGAGCGTGTTCTATGGATATTGATGATATTAATGGTGTTAGCAAAGTACTGTTATTCACTACACGTCTTGAGGACCCAACTTCTGAATGGTCAAGTAAAATGGCTCATGAAAGAGCAAAGAGAAGTCAATATTTCTGGTGTGCAATTGACGATTTCTGGTGTGCAATATTTCTGGTGTGCAAAGATAAAGTAGAAATTTCATAAGTGGTAGGAGAAAAATAACAACAGATCAGGTGTTGATCTATCTGGTACACAGTGAGAAAGGGAATATAATTGGTATTTGTAAGATAAGTAAACTGCTGACTGTTAAATAGTATGAACAGAACATGATTTGTTATATTTTAAGCATGGATAGAACAATCGTATAAGTAGGAAAATATGTGCAACTTTCGTTTGTATCATCACAAAGTTACAGCTGTAAAGGTAATTAAAATGCATAAGAAAACAACATTTTATATTCTGTAAAATGGCTGGTGAAGCTCATGAAAAGAGTGAAGTAGTAAAGGAAGATGAAGAACTAAAAATAGATGTGCTTGTAATTGAATGGTCGACTACAGTAGATTATAGAGCTCTAAGAAAAACAAGTAATATTGTAAAAGCGAGTTCAATGAATCTGATTGAGTATAACTAAGTATGAGAGTGGTAAAGAATGGCGATGAAAAAAAATTGGGCTTACACAAGGCAAATTAATCATTTTCATATACAGTGTGCGGATGGCATTAAAGCATTAGTAGTAGTGTTGAAAAGATAAGGTTAAAAGCACAGATACTCGGTTAGAATAAATGAGCGTCTGTTCTGTTAAAAAAGCAATAAAAAGTGGGAGTTGTGTAGTATGGAGATACAACTTGCTACATTATGAAGTTAGTAAACATTTAATAGGCTGTGCATTTGAGCATACCATGCGCTGGCCTGGTTTGGCAAATGTCTTGTTGATTGTGCACACGTAGTACTTGATGTCTGGCTCTTTGTGCCAAAACATAGCAAAGAGAGTGTCTACTTGGTGCTCATAGAGGAGGCTTAGAGTTTGTAAATGGACTTGTTTGGAATGCGGGCATTTTTTCCAAGAGGAGGCTCAGAGTTGAGACTTAAGGTGACCATGCTTGTTATCATGATGCCAACCCTGATTTGTCAGTACAAATCCAGTTCTGAGTCCACTCGACCAATAAATGGTTGTTGATGGAAACACCTTAATCCCCCTCCCTTTCAATGATCACAAGAGCTTAACTAACTGACAGGGTTCTAATAATTACCTGAGCTGGTGTTGTACATGTAGAGGATGTTCACCGATCCTGCCAGATGCCCGCCAACAAGCTTGTTGTCGGTTCTACACAAGCAGCAAAACCGATCGGATTAGCCATTTCGGATGTCACTCAGATGACGAGAACGGTTATAAAATTACGCCGATTGGCGGCATATTTTTTGTTTTTCCATCAAATCTGAAAAACAGTGAATGTCTCCCACTGAAGTTCAGTATTTGGCTAATGCAAAACTGCAAATAAAATACTTGCGTACGGAAAGCATAAATCGTCATTAAAAAGGGCAAATTAGCAGTACTACTTGTGCGGACAACAGATTTATGGCCGAACCATTGCAAAGGTAGCACTCTCCAAGAAAACGGGGAAAACACTCAACAAAGAGGCATATGTAGCATGATGGAGCAGCTAATCATCCAGTTGGTTGTTAAAGGTTAATTTTATCAGACGGGCCTGTAGACTGATATTTCCAACTGGAGATTTGATTGACAACCCGGGGAGAAAGTTCTTTATGAAGGGCACCGAGAAGCACTGAGATGAAAAACACACGAGCAATTAGTAAGCAATTATCTCTTATCAATCCTTGTCGACAATCTTCATGATAAAGTAGAAGCCAGAAAAGGGATCTGCGAGCCAAAATATGAATATGAACATACAACATAACCATCTATGGATATCTAATTAGTAAGCAATTATGTCTTCTCAAACCTTGTCGACAATCTTCATGATAAAGTAGAAGCCACAAAAGGGATCTCCGAGCCAACATATGAACATGAACATACAACATAACCATCTATGAAAATCTAGATGACAAAAATATCATACAAAGGGTTGGGATTAGAGCAGACCAACAACAAAGGCTCCTGATCTGCTTCTATTCAATCAAAACACCATAAGGAAGGATAACTAATACACAAAGGGTAGACGGGACAATCCGCTGATTCAATTAAAGGTACTCAACAACTGTATAAACATACTCATAATGGTAATGCTGTAAAATGTGATTCTATGCTAGATCTGATTCTGCACTAATCAGCCAGGCATCAAATTAATTTTTGAATAAAGGACATGAAGCATAATAGGGTGCAGAAACCTCCTCTTCAGGACATGAAGAGAATTCACAGAAGGAATAGATAATCTTCGAACAGGAGTGGGGGTAGCGAGGAACTTGGAAATGAGAAAAATATTCTTTCAACTCACTATCAAATGGTCAAAGATAATGCATATTCAAAAATGGTACTCACTTTCAAAATAAACAAGAGAAACAAAAAAATCCTCATGTATTTTTTTTTTGCGGGGTAATCCTCATGTATTTTTTTTGCAGGGTAATCCTCATGTATTTTTTTTTAATCCTCATGTATTAATACAATGAAAAAATGTGAGAACATAATAAATGAAATGAAGTTCGGATAAAATTAATTTTTCTTTGGGTGGATAAACTTCTGATCAGGATGACCCCACAGAAGTTACTTGGCAGATGGAATAGGTGCACAGTCAATAAATATATAGATTTCAAAGTTATTTTTCTTTGGTGTTTTACTGAATGGCATATATGCTTCTATAGCAAAGTTTTAAATAGCGCGCTAAGCATCTTAGCGCCGGACCTCTTTCAAATGCTATAGCATGCTATAGCGGAGCTATAGCGCGCTATTTAAAATGTTTGTTCATTTATTTGGACCAAAGTCTCTTAGCGCAAGACCTTTTGTAAACGCTATAGCGTGCTATAGCGGGCTATTTGAAACAGTGTTCTATAGCCACATAATTTTCTTTTCTACACTCTGAACAAGTTCTCACGGAAAGGAGGGCTAAAAGCAGCAACAACTATTCACTAATCAGTATAAGAAAGATGATACAAAGGAAGAGCTCGTCCAATTCTGTCTCCAACAACAGCAGTGGCAGAACTGATCTTCTCAAGATACCCTCATATATATGAACTGGGTGTGTGGAATTTCAAATAAGTGAAATGATATTTACATGTACTGTTGTAAAGGATCTAAACATCAATGTTTGCTTGTTCACAGAAGCATGTTACTGGCTTACTGCATAACCA